CGAACAATCCATCGCTGGATATCAGCAAAGCATGCTGGCAACAGCTTATCCACGCAACTTCTATCAAGTGCACGTCACTTCCGGTGACACGCCTACCCCAACTTTCGGATATCGACTGTACAATACTCGCCTTTCGTCGGCAAAAAAGACCAACCGAGATGAGGGATGAATTAAAAACGTTTCTACAAAACTAGCGTATTTTTGAACGTTCCTCCACCACGGCTATATGACATGAACTAGGAAATGAGCGAAAGCAGCTTCTGTCCCAGCGAATTACACATTTCGTTGCATCGGATGCCTATTAGCTGAGCAAATTGCCTAGTATGTGCTTTGCATACAGCTTCTGCTCTTCTTGAGACCACAAAATGGAAAAAGTATTGCTTAGAAAACCATGGTTCGAATATGGCCTCAAAATTATGAGACCACATCACAAGTGGGAAGCCAGAAAATGCTGCACGATTATTGATCTATTATTAGTCACTGCTGCATGGTATTGAGAAATGACTACAGAACCATTTCTGTAAAATGCTATTGCGCTTATTAGTCACCCAAAACAGTGCGCTCCTGCTGCTAGACCCTGAAACCACTTATCCTGGTGAATATTAATTACCCACAAGTAAAGGACGCAGCAATCTTTTGCGCGGTGTGCAGGCAGATGCCATTTCAACTATCGGAGGCTGAGCATAAAACATTTATGTGGCAAAATATAACAAAAGTAACAAAACTGGTAGGATCACAATCTATACAAGCAATAAAAGTTTTCAAAAATTGAAGTGAGCAAAACCGTCAGCAAGTACGCATGGCACAGACTAGACACGAATGAACTGTACATGTCAAGCATTTAACTGCTATGAAAGTCAGAGTATACTCGGGCATGAAAAATGAAAATCAAATACTCTCAGTAACTGCATATTTATGACGAAAGCACCGTTCTATAAGACTGAAATCAAAAATGCCAAAATGACACTACCTCAAAATAGGATTTAATAAGAATACTGTAGATTCTTGAGTAGCTATCGGTATACAATTACTATAGTGGTAATGAATAAGTGCAGACACAGAAGGGAACACGTTATTGACTGTTCGAACCTGAAAATGAACGTTCAATCGTGGATGATCCAAACTCTATTAAGAATACAAACCCTACGTGCAGGGTCGCGGCACGTAATTGGACAAAACAATTTCGGAGTCTATTCCATTTAGGGAGGGCGGAAGTGGTGTAGTGGCAAGTGGCACGCTTACCACGCGAGCGGTCCGGGATCAAATCCTGGGTCGTGAGTCGCCCGGGCCAACCAAGCCTTCCATCCCTCCGGGGTCGGTTAATTGGTACCAGACTTGTCTGGGAGGATAAAAACACTGACTTGAACATCGGCTGGCCCCCGCAAGTCATTGTATAGGCCACATCGCATTCAAACGCCACTACGAATGTACAAATGGAAGTAGAATGCGTGCCGCATCCCAAAAAGGGATTGATCAACGGCAAGAAGCCTCAGGGATCAACGGGGCGGCCCCGTGTCGGCGTGCGGATGGCTGCCAAATGCTTTATCCTTTAATTATCCTTTTTCCATTTAGGGTACGGGCATGAGGTGCAGTTTTCGTTGGCGAACTGTGTGAACTCGAACATTTCAGCGTTTTTCCCGCAATGTCAAGTGACTGCCTTCCCCACCCACCCCGTAGACTGGCTATCCCCGTGGCTCCGAGTTACCCTAGCTTTCTGAAAAGACTGCATCATAATGCCCCTAACCGGAATAGACCGCATCGGGCTAATAATGAGAAATTAGTTTAACAACCAAGTGAAACATACCACCCCCTCATTTATAAGGAGAATATGACGATGCTTCCCTTGTTCCATTCCGTCCAGGATGAATTGTCCCGGCGAGTTTGCACTTGTTCTGAAAGTTCAAATTTGAAGCGAACAATTTACTGGGTACTGCAACATGCTTTCACTTCCTTCACTTGTAGAAACACAACAGTTGGGTGTGATTTCGTTGCGCTCCTTTGATAACATGAAATATCAAAGGGAGCGCAACGAAATCACACGCAACTATTGCGTTTCTACAAGGTCAAGCATGTGTTGTGGTACCCATGATGAGGAATCGATTTGGTTTTATTTACCAGGCAGTATTGGTAGAAGGCAAAATCTTAAAATTTTTTGAGAAGAGTTTTGTAAGGATTTTTCTAGAAGTTTCTAGTAAATTTTTAAGAAAACTTCAATTTTTTACTACCTTTCACCTTTTCCACTATTTAGAAAGAATCATAGTTGGAAGATGCCTATGTTGACTCAATCAGAACAAATTTTCTCCAATAAAATTTATGATTTCAAATGTTCAAAACGTAAGAGACAATGAAGAGGGATAAGTCCGAGCTACGAAATATCTTGTACCAATGCCTCTTGACTCACCTAACCAAAAAATCACCATCCTTCTGTAAAAGATATTCAGAACTCGCACGATTAAGTTCACCATGGAACCATGGCTTGTCGCACAAATCCAACCCAAGAAGGCCATTCGGATCGTCTCTTGAACATGACCCTTAAATGAATTTATTTCATGAAAGATGATCATTATCGAAACGACCTGTGCTTACCACCAGGTTCTGGGGAAGGCCGATCAGGAATGTGATTCCTATTAGCTGGCCGAGGTGAAGGCGCCAGAGGCTGTCGCTTAGGCTCCTGGGCGAACGTTGGATCAATCTAAACAAAACCAAAATTTCGAAGCCCTTCTAAACCATATGTTGTACATCCAACAGATCATGCTTACATTAACTATGCCAGAGGTGGGTTGAATGGGTGGCGCCATGGGAGGCGACATGTCGAGCGTGGCCAAACGGATAGCATCATCAATGATGTGCATTACTCTTGGTACCTGAAGGAAATAGAAATGTGAAGCATCATTTAAACTTTTCAGCAGTATACTTGCACATAAAAGTCCGCATGCGATCGGAGCCGCAATCCGTGACTGGTATTTCGACATTCTTAAAAGACTATTATACCGAACTCGCTCTCCAATGTCGCAGTCTTGACGATTCTAAATTAGAGGTGCAAAATACCGAAATTTCAGATACTTGTGTCCGTCCGTAATTCTTTGTAGCTGGCCACCAATGCATATAGGAAGTACTAGTTGCTTGGTGAACTGTTCACCTCATCGACTGACTGCAATCCAGTCCTCATTTGAGAAAGAGGTCTACCGCGCGCCCGTGCGACACCAGGGGCGGTATTCAATCCTTCCCCCAGGGGGATATATCCCCCTACTCTGATTCAATCCTCTGGGGGGACAAAAAAGGGTTGCGTCATAGGACCTCGCATACCTCTGTGTTTCTACCTGCCAGACAGTTAGAGCAGCGCGACCCCTCAGGGGAAAGAGTGCTTCTTCATCAGTGGAGGGTAAGTAGACGCTGCTCTAACTGTCTGGCAGGTAGAAACACAGAGGTATGCGAGGTCCTATGACGCAACCCTTTTTTGTCCCCCCAGAGGATTGAATCAGAGTAGGGGGATATATCCCCCTGGGGGAAGGATTGAATACCGCCCCCAGGAGCCCAAAGAGAAGTGGCTGGTTAGCCTGACATGGTTTCTGCATGAAGGCTGAACACACGCCGCCTGCGATCTTCCGCTTCGCGGTGCAGTCAGGTTACAAGTCACTATTCGTACGGTTATTCGTATGAATTTAGCGGGCTAACTTGATTTTCTCTCTAAAATGTCCTGCTCGCCGATCGGCTAGAGCACAGACGATTAGTTAGTGGATTTCAAAGTCCGGTGAGTGACCGCAACCGTAACACGTGACTGGTTGGCGCGCAACGTCACGTGTCATCGATTAGAATTCGACGTGCCCTTTTGTCGTTTTTCCGCGCACTCTACGGCGACAGAATGGGCGTGATAGAACCTGGCTCTTGTACGGAGCGTCCATGCTGGTATATAGGAGGACTATGGCAGTTGGTCGAATGTGTCGGCAAGTGGTACCGGAGCTGACCTCCCTTCGCCCTCGCTGCGAAACCACGCGCGCGAAGACCGCTGCCTCGCCGGCTTGCGCGCGAACAAGCGAGTGCTGCGTGTATTTTGGGATAGTCGCCCAAGGGCGGCTGTGGTGGAGGGGGTATTGTGCACTCACCAGCGAGGCGCTATACCCTCTCACGTTGGTGCTGAAACGTGTGGGTACACATCAGTAGTGTAGCTGCGCGCTCCAGTGCCAACGTGGATTACGGTAGCGGTCACTCACCGGACTGTTAAATCCGGCTTGTGACGATTACGAGACACCTAGGCCCCTAGAACTAGACCTGGAAGAGCAGGGACCCGCCTAGAGACGCGCAAGAGGCGGTAAAGGCTGAGTTCAAATGTGTCCGCAACCATACTCGTACCGTACGCACTGGTATAGTACTCCGTAGCGGAAGCATATGCAGTGTATGAGCGTGCCAAACAGTGTTCGATGTCCTTAGCGGCGACAGCGTGTCTCCACTTAACACTTAAACATGAACTGCGAGTAAGCGCAACGTCGCGAGTGAACTCTTACTGTATACCATGCAACACATAATTTCAGGTGATACACTACAGCAAAGGAAGGAAGAGAAATCAAACCGCAAAAAAAACTAACGTCTCTGAACTGAAAAACATGACAACGTCTATCAGTTTCGTTCCTAAGCTTCGCTATATATCCAAACATATCAGCAGTGTTCGATTTGGCTTCGTGCTTCTGAAATCAGTTCTGGAAGCTAATAAATCCTCCGAACCCAAACCTAAAATATCCCATTAAGGAACCACTCTTACAAAGCAACAGTCCAGGGAGGGTTTCAACTAATCCAAAGCTGAGGTGTGGAAGCATGCCCCAGCCCAAGTGAAGTCGAAAGGAACTGTCACTGAAGTAAAAACTCACCTCTGAAATGCGTGAGAAGGGCTCGAAGTTCGTCGAAAAGGGCGGGTCAACCGAGCCTCGGTTGACCCGCCTCCTTGCTGCTGTGAAGAGCGCTTGCTCGAATAGCGGTCGTTGCGGGACCGCCGCGCTGTATCAGGTCGATTCCATGAGAGCGCAACTTAAGCGCTTCAATTTCGATTGCTGGCAAATAGTTATGTATTTGCAAGCATGCATGGCTATTTGCCAGCAGAGCAATTGGAGCGCATGTACTACGGGCAGGTTCGGACAACTCGTCCAACACACGTCTCCCTAAACGGCAGGGGGAGTCCCTGTCTAAGCCCCTGCCCGACGTTTTTTTCTACTTTTTCTTTCTCCATTGACCAACTTCTCACCTGCAACGTCATTATAGGTGGTCCTTACCCGCGAATTCGTTCCTGGATTTTGCTTTAATCATATAAAAAAAAAATAATTCTTTCGCCACTTCTTACATTAGACCCTTGTGCCGCAAACGAAACAAGCTCAATGCTATGCCGAGCAATCAATCGATTTAGTCTTTCAGGTTCCCTCACATCAGAATGAATAATAGTCAGCGATTTAGTAGAAATTATTCAGCTCGATTTGATGATTTGTCACCTTTGGTTCGCCGAGGAACTAAACGAATGCTGCATCAAAATTGAGCAATCATGGGACGTTTATAACTGTAAAGCAGTAAAACTCTGATACAAGTGAAAAAGAATAATAGGGAGAAAATGAGCAAACAACTGAAAGTGGAGTTAAAGGCAGGTGGTACGCACACAAGCTCAAGAGGGAGAAATCTGCCACTTGTAAAGAAGCTAGACCCTTAGAATCCCAAGTCATGCCCTTTCCTGGTGAAGGGAGCGTTCCTGACGGCAGCAAGGGTTTATCCGTGATAACCGCCGCCTTTGTGGAGGCCCTTAATACCAAGTAGCTGAATGATACCATAAGCATCGTTAGATGATGGCACTACCATCATCACCATCATCATCTGCTTTCGTGAAAGAGTGTTACTTATACAGCCACATCTTCTGGTTTCTATGCAACGCATTAGCAACCAAATAAATGTTTGTTGGTATGATGTCGGCCATCTAGTTTGACACGTACAGAAGCCCTCAGCCTCGGATGCTGGTTTGAGATCAGCAGGCAGAATGGATCTCATTTACCGGTTCAAAGCAATCCCTTTTTCTTCAACAGTGCACCATTTGCTACCAACTTCTGTTGAAAACGGAGACCAGGTTACTTTACCATTTGTCGCAAAACTATCGCGCGGTGCCTTTTGAAGTAATTGCGGCAGTCAAATCATCCAACTTATAAGCGGCCGTATGTATCGCAGATAAGAATTAGAAGCTAGTGTAATTATGGGAGAACAGTACTTCGTAGCAACTGTTCATGTCGACTACAGTAACCCCGGTGCTTGGAAGTGGAAGAAGCTCAGCAGTGGGTGAACTATGCGCTACTTTTGGAAGATAACGCTTGTCACCTCTCTCAAAGGCCATGGAGTCTCTCCACCGACACCCCTCCCCTTCCTAACTACACGAGAGTCGAGCATATTGTTACAAATTAAAACAGCTACAAAATACCCCACCGGTTTCATGATTGCGTTCGGCTTAGGTGGAGGAATTAGTCCGATCTCTGCAGCAACCATGTTTATGCACTCTCTGAAAAGAAGAAAGCCGTAAAGATGACTCTATAATCGGGTCCACTCCAGTAAGGGGAGAGAGGTGCATAAGGTCGTGCCGCCTACAATAATCCCAATTTTCGCAGGGCAGAAAGCTCCAGGGTTGGCGTAAGCGAAAGGGTCATTCACCCTGAGATTTCCGCCCGTGCAAAAATTGAAAACACTGTCCGGGGCGCGCAATACACCACCATGCCCCTTGCCGGGATAGACTCCCATAACCTTTTAAAAAACAGTCTCCTTAGAGAAAGGCAGATCATCAATTATGAATAAAAATTGAGAGACGCACTCACTTAACGACGAGTGGTCGCATATCGGCGGTCATCTCATGCAGAGCCGCAGTTACGGGTACACTACCCAGATACTAGAAACACACAATCAAATAATATAAAACAAATAAATAAATCAAATAATAATGTAAAAGATAACGCAACGTGAAGCAGAATAATAAACGACTTTTGAGCTGAAAAGTAGAATTCGCGCTGGCTAGGAGGTGTCTGAGTGGTACCCGTCATCGGTGGAACATCATCAATTGGTGGAGAGGGCCTTTCTATCAATCACAATACTTTTCAATCTCTCCCACTCTTAGACCGATGTCAGACTTGCGAATCGCGCGATTTCGTACTTAGCGATTCGCTGCGATGCATCTAGCCTCCGCAGTCGCGTTGCGTACCAGCAATTGAAATACCGGCCGTACGACGCGACCCAGTACTGCTATCGATCGCGCGATCGCAGGGTATATCATCGGTCTTAGCCAGCGACGTATCTACCTAATAGCAAAGATAAAAGTAACAGCTATTAATAGGGGACATTAACGGCATGTAGTATCAGGAGCAGTCATGTCATAAGGCCGATGTCATAGTTTGCGAATCGAGCGATTCGCTAGCGAATCGCTAGATCCGAGCGTTGCGCCAGCGAATCGAACGTTGCACCAGCGAATCGAACTTTGCGCCAGCGAGTCGAACGATGTACCAGCGAGTCGAACTAGGTACCAGCGACTCAATAGTGGCGGGACCCAACGTTTAAAGGAAGCCCGCCACTTTCAAACAGTGTCACGTGACAGTGGACGCTGTTTTTGAAAGTGGCGGGACTTTGCAGTGGACACTGTTTGAAAGTGGGGCTTCCTTTAAACGTTGGGTCCCGCCACTATTGAGTCGCTGGTACCTAGTTCGACTCGCTGGTACATCGTTCGACTCGCTGGCGCAAAGTTCGATTCGCTGGTGCAACGTTCGATTCGCTGGCGCAACGCTCGGATCGAGCGATTCGCTAGCGAATCGCTCGATTCGCAAACTATGACATCGGCCTAAAGCCTCCATAAACTCATTCAAGAAAGGAAAGGGATAATGTCAACCGCAGTTACGCCTCGTACCTTCAAAGCATTTGAATGTTTTGAAGAGGGTACAAGTCCCTGTAATCTGATAACTACACATAGAGCTCAGAGGTGCTTTACTTTCCTATCCTAACAACATTTAATGCGTGAGAGATAGCCTCTTCTGTGTGCAAGTGTAGCAGTCGTGAAAACAAATGGTAGAAGTAAGCGGGCGCATTTCTTTTAGGAATGAAGAGCCTACAACACATGAAGTTGCAACCGACGTCTTGTCAAGAAAACTGGTTGTTCAAGTGGAATCAGGACGGTATTGGTCAGTAATTTGTCATTTCCTTAGGTTATTACTGTAGAAACATACGTATAAGTCTTTAGGTGTCCAAAATAACCAAAAGGCATAACATAGTACATTCAATGAAAGCTGCATGGAGTATGTCTAAAAATTGAAGGTAAGAATTGGACAGCTTTGTCATTTACCCTTTTTTTCACTTCCGCTCGGCCCTACGCATGGATGGTGCACGGGTCGAGGTGTGTGTTGTTCACGGGACAGAAATGTGGCAGAGCGACGATTTCGCGTTGCGCGCGGAACCATGGGGCGGTATTCAATCCTTCCCCCAGGGGGATATATCCCCCTACTCTGATTCAATCCTCTGGGGGGACAAAAAAGGGTTGCGTCATAGGACCTAGCATACCTCTGTGTTTCTACCTGCCAGACAGTTAGAGCAGCGCGACCCCTCAGGGAAAGAGTCTGTTAAACCGAACCATTTTGCGCTGCAGGAACTCCGGGTCCACTAATGATCAGCGGTGGACCTGAGGTTCCTGCAGCGAAAAATGTTTCGCGCTGCGAAACGCGAAAAGTCGCTTTCTGTCCTACATTCTTGTGAAACATTTAAATATCATATTTGCCAATTTCTGGGCATTTTGAGGTTGATAGGGTGGGACATCTATTGGAACGGTCAGAAGTTTCAACTGAAATCTCATCTCTGGAGCACCATAGTTTCACCCTTGTGCGGGAAAACCCTCAACCATACCTCAGCGCTAATTAGGAGGAAGTTAGATGTTTTTTTAATCTGTTTACGTTACAAATATAACAATTAAAATACAACAAACCTGAAATACAAACTGAATTCCGCTGCCTCGTAGTTCAGTGGCGGTTAATGGAAGTGCCATGGCATCAGAGAGTTCACCAGTACATAGACCTTATCAGCAATTCATAGACGGATGAGTGATTCCTGGGATGACGAAGTGAATTCCCTGCTCCAAGTGCAAGGTCGTCCGACGCGATCGATAGCAAACCGATGATGCTGTCCGGTGTGGGCGGTCTGTGACCACAGACATCTTTGTTCCAAATGACTCATCCCTAAATTCCTAGGCGGGTCAAAAATTTTCGGGCAAAGTTCGTTAATGGCATGCTCTTTGTAGTCAAGTTGATCGATAAAATTATGTTTCCATGTTGAAAAATCAAAACAACCGTCACATGTGTGGACGATTGGACCCCGTGTTTATGTATTTCTTTTCTCATCCAGGTCTTGTTTCGAGTTCATAATCGATTTCCGTGGAAAAACCACCCGGTATCGCTCATTATGTCTCTAGAACCATGCTTAGCTTGTGGACCCCCGAAAGCAGTTTCAAAGTTTAACCTCACGAAACGTCTGGAAACAGGTCAGCTGTTCCTCTGACAAAGTTCAGTGGGGTCGTGTTGGTGATTCCCAAAGAGGGTCGTATGCAGGGTTCTAGGGGTGTGGTTCCCAGGACGAAAGTGACTTTTTCGCTTTTTGCAGCGCGAAGCTTTTTTTCGCTGCGTCCCCAAGTCCACCACTGATCAGGAGTGGATCTGTGGTTCTCGCAGCGAGAAAGTTTCGTGTACGAAAAGCGTTAAGTCGCATTTTGTCCTAGGGAACGACACCCGTAATGGATAGGGTCGTTTCTAGGAATGGGATAACACTACTATTAACACCTCAGGTTGTGGTTCGATACTGTAAGGCGACTTGGCCCTTTTCCAACAAACGTTAGATCTGTGGAACACTGATAGCGTGGTAAAGAAGGATATGAGCTGTTGAGGATGCCTCCATTTGTTGGTGGTGGAAACGAGCTATGAAGTTATCATTTCTGGTTTTGCTAGGCTGTGGCGAAGTTTACCATGAAAGAGCGCCCACTGGAGATCAAGGCGTAGGGTAGGTCGGATTGTAGCGGTGAAAACAAGGGGGTACCATTTCGCTCTCTGAGTTTGCATGAGACGCGATGCTCGGTTGCGTCTTCACGCTGCAGCAGTGGCAAAAGTTAGAGGCCAAACGTGAGGTAAAGGGCGGCGCTGTGGATAGGCGCGCGGTGATTGACCGTTGGTAGATCGCAGGGCCAAATAGGCTTACTGCGAATGTATACGGCTCAGTCCTGGGGAGGGGGAAGGTTGGATTTCTTCAATCCAAGATCGCACTCACAGATGAACAGGCCTATGATTAAGTTACTGTTGGTGGAATATTGAGCATAAGCTCAGCAGTTCAACCGGCACCTTAAGGGTTTCAGTTTTTGTTTGTTGACACTTGCCATTACCGCGTGTCAGATGCAAATGTTATCATAAGAACGCTGATAATGGGCCATGGACAACACGACTTTGAATCTGATCTTTTCGCCTTATGACCCGTGAGTAATCAACTCTTTTGAAACAGCGCATAGATGAATCACTAATAGTTGCTTCGATACACTCATGCATTAAAACCATGGTTTGCAGATACATAGTAAATTCCTTGAAAATTGTTGACGGAGTACAATTTCCCCAAAGAATCTCAAAAATCATCAGATCACGAGTACATTGGGCAAGCACAAGATCATTCAATGGCAAGAGCCTAGGCCTATCACTCTATGAATACAAATGAGCACAAATAAATCTCAAGAAGAATTATTACGAAAATAACACAGGGATAGCAACGGTTGCACCAAAATGCGAAGAAAACCGGAAATTAGAGCAATCACCAGATCCTTTATCGAAAGGATCGATTGAGAATGACTTCAGTTTTTTTCCGCCTTCCTTACCTTTTCATACGCCGTGAAGGTATAACGGGACAAGCGAATACCTACTTTTAACTTTATACCTACTTAATACTACAAACGGTTCGCCGTCATTTACTTTACATACCAGGAATCTTTTGTTATGAATTAAGAGCTTTCACGGTGCACCGCAATGCTTATCTAGAACAGCTAATAAACATCTCAATACATGCTAAGACTACATCCCTATTGTATTCAATGTGTAAAAAACAGCAGATATTGAAGAACATACGTGCTTATTGACAAAAGACGGCCAGCATCCTCTAGTCTTTTGACGGCGGTTCTAATAAAAATGCGATCGTACTCGAACTGGTACATCTTTAGTAAGCTGCTATGCAGAATGAAAGCTTGCGACGCGCGCGGCGGCGAGGCGGTTACGAAATCAACTCATGGCGGGGAAGTGGCGACATCAATCCGAAAAGATGAGGATTTCTATAATTGGAGATTGCATCCTATCATAGAAATCCTAATCAGACGATCATAGCAGCACATTGAAAGGTGAGGATGTGAAAGCACTTGGTTCATACAACTATCAGCTTTTCATATGATTTGAGTAAATAAATGCAATTTCGAGCAAGTTGGTCTAGAAATCTCTTTGGTTTGGGCTTTGGTGTTATACACGAGTTCCTAAGAAAACAAATATAAAAAATCGACACTACTCTATCCTATCGCTAAAGTGCTACGAAATCTTTCGCTACAAACTGTCAAAAGAAGGCAGACGTATCCTTGAAGCGTAGCATATCTGCCAGGAGAAAGCGCTACGACCAAGTGGGCCCTCTAGTTTTACATATCCTAAGGCTATAGTTCCAAATGTGACAGATCCGGAACTGGATTATTCGGGTCTGGTCCGAGCAAAGTGGAATACACGGCGTAAGTGTGGCAAGAAGCACCTCAAGAAAGAACAAAATCATTGTATGACCTTGACTCTTGAAATAGAAAGCGGACTCACCAATGAGAACAAACACGTGCCAAATAGCATGAGCAAATGGTACAATACCATCCAACTTGAAAAACACAACTCCAGTTATATAGACTACTCCGCCGACGATCATCCACTCCAAACCAGTGCGGTCATTCTGGAAGGGTTATCACTTTTCTCAATCAAAACAAAAGCACGAGTTAACAGAACCACCATTCCAGAATCCTCAAGTCTTTTTGGAGATCAAAAGAGCGAATACACTTCATGATTTGGGGAATCATGCATGTCAACAGATTCTACATTCATACTTACCATAGTGAAAATGGCCACAGACGGACCACCAGCGATCAATATGTAAAGAAGTGTTTCTAGTGTTTTGAATCTGCAAAAGCGAGGATTCCGTTTAACCGAATATTCTCGCGAAAGTTACATACCTTTCGTGGAAATTATATTGATACAGTATTCCAAGAAATGCAAACACCCAGATCATCCACTTCAAGTTCAGACCCGGATATCCACAATGTCGCAGCGTTAGCCATGGCGTGTATGAGGCTGCTATGAATAAATAAATAGCGGCGCGGTCGCATATATGAAGGTAGTACCGCAACCTCGTCTGCCTGAAATGTTCCGGTGTAATCTGCAACTTAATGATGGAACTAAAAGTCGAGGAACTCACGCTCGCTTGGGCCTGAATTTCAGTTCGCAAACGTGGTAGCATGTGGAAGACGAGAACAACAACGTGGTAAACAAGCCGTATACAATCATCAGGTAAAATTGTAAGTCACGATGGGATATTGTGACCATATGCCAGAACACAACCACGCTAGGCACTATTCCTACCTAAAACGATTGCCTCAACAGCAATGCTGAACACGGTAATGGTGAGCTTGAAAACGTACAGCGTGCGATATCGTATTTGCCCAGTGTTCGTAGATCGTAGGCTCATATGCTTCGCCTTTAGCCGCACGCTTGTTCTTGTAAAGTGACGGGCTGAAAGGGAGAATAGAGCCAGGCCAAACTGCTATTTCTTCCACCCTTCCCCCTTCTCTAAAAACAGAGATACTTCGCTAAATCATCTTTCACTCGCAGTGAGTTGAATTTGACGCTTTTGGATAATGTGAGATACGCCACGCACTCGATCCTTACAAGAGTCACAGGAACCTTTGAAAGTCTTTATAAACCACCGCATTTCTAAACAATACGTCTTTCTGAACTATTCTCTTCGAGATGCCCTCTTCCATCCCAAGACAACTGCTACTTCGTTCTCTTGAAAACAAAAAACTCCTTAAGCAGACTTTTGAGAATTGAAAACAACTTCTTTCGTCTTCATAGACAAGCTCAGAACTTCATAGAGAACAATAGGAGAGAGAGAGTATCAAATTCTGTTTCTTGCGCAACTCATTTACGAACCTTAATGAACTGAAAGTATTACCGGCATAGAAGAAGAAGAAAAGCCACATCCATTAAATTCTCGACCCTCACGTTTATGTCCTGCAGCTGAAGTATCAGCTGAAGAACGATAGGAACGAAGTAGCAGTCAGCATTAACGCTTATCATCGTTGATTCGAGACGACTGATAACTTCTTGTTTGAAGAATGACTAACTGAGACTGACTCAGCAGAAAAACAACTAGTTTTTCTTGCTTATTTGTGCGGGCTTCGCGATCGCATTCACAACTGCTTTGGCGAAAGCTAATGACGTTCGACGACTTTCAAGAAAATCGGTAGAAAGTTCACTCTTTACTACCAACCATATTTATCACTCTGAGAGCGAATACTACCGGACAATCAGAGCTGAGTCGTTGCAGGCTCCCAGATAAAAGATCACTACAATAAAAGAGCAAACAACTTTTTGTACTCACTTCTCTATCCCACAACTGCCGCTCATTATAGCAGCCCCGTGCTCGCCCTACGTGGC